TCTCCCTGTGACCTTTAGTTTATCTCTCTACTATTTCTCTCCTGCCATCTCTTTTTAGTATCTCTTGCATTGGAGCTTCCAGGGCCTTATCCAAGCTCACCTTTATTGTTACATCCTACCCACTTCCCTAACAGGGAAAGTGCATCAGACTGAAATTGGCAAGATCTTTTGACAGCTTGTCTTTACTACTGTGTTGCCAGAAAAAGGAAAATGGCTATTTATACGGTCCATTTCCACAAGCTGCTGTTAAATTTTGGGCCAAGTTTCCTTTAAAACAATGATTAATATTTCTTAATTGACTACCTAGCAAACTGTACTGGATTCATCCAGCATATGAATGAATGAGATTTCCCTAGATTTGGGTAGGATTCAACTGAGATTTCACTTGGATATTTGGAAGTGGGTTTTTAATGTCAACTTTTGTTTATGCCAATTGCCCAAGTGTGGGCTCTCAGTAATACACTGCATCATATAACTTTCCCATCTTTTATGTCAAAAATGGTTAAATATCAGCAATGTCCTATTGCACAACTGAATAGATACTCAATAAATATTTGTTCATTAGAATGGAAGAGACTATACATATCATTTTATAAAAGATTCGAGATGGTGTCTAGAAAATGTAGACACACAATAAACTAATTAATTACAAAACAATCCCATCAAAACCAAAGAATTTCTCAATTAACATAGAAGGTTTAAACAAGGAGGTACATAGGCACACATAAACACATCAGAAGTTCCTCCAAAACTGGATTGGTTTTGCTATGAACTTGGAAGTAAGCTTTTTGTACCAAATAATAAAGATGATGATGACCAGAACAACCAACATTTATTTATCACCTATGTGCCTGGTTTGGTGCTAACTGCTTTATATACACTTTATATTTATTCCCTACTACAAACCTGTGTGGGTAATTATTATTCCCATTTTATGGATGAAAAGTTAAAACAAAAGTGTTATTATCTGGGAGGAGAAAACAGTCTACTTTCTTGGAGACGCACTAAATTGAAAAAAAAATTAAAAGTCTTCACCATGTCATCAACATTACTTGAGTATATGTAGCCAGTATTTTGTAAGGATATTCTTTTTGTATCCCTTGCCCTTGGGCAAAGATTCTCATGCATAAGAATCACCTGGGGACCTCCCCCCTCACCCCAAATTTGGATCCTATGAGTCTTTACTCCTCAAAGTGTGATCTTTACAACAGCATTATAGGCGTGGTCTGGGGGCTTATTAGAAATGCATGATCTCAAGCCTCACTCCCGAAGACATCAGGACCTTAGTATGACAAGATTCTCAGGTGATTTCTATGCATATTAAAGTTGAGAAACGTGGCTTTAAGGACAGAAAGTTTGAATTCTAAGGAGACTCCCAAGGTGATTCTGGTGAAGGGGATCAATGGTAAGATCAGACTTTATAAAACACTGCCCCAGGACACGATACCAAAATGCAGTTCACTGAAAGCACAGATGCCAGCAATTTGAGAAGCCAAGGGGTCACAGAGTCAAGACACAGAAGATGCACATGCGCAACAGTTGCTGTTCTGAGGCTCTGGCTGGATCCAGGAATAAAACCAAGGCTACTGGCAGCCCTTCACCCACTTTTCCATCCTAGCAGACGGAGGAGAAGGTATCCTTTACAGGAAGGGGAGTAGCCGGATGTCCTACTTCAGACACGAAGCTACTTTTAGACACTGAAACTGTATCTAAAGGACTTGTATGAACTTGGCATTGACTCCTTAATGTGTTTGTATTTAACTTAAAAAAAAGTGATTTATGTTATTTAGGATTGAGCCAAAGTGGTACTGTGGTAAGGTGTGTGGTTTATCTTGTGGCTGCAAGGACCCCTGTGTATACTCCTAACTATGCCCAGGACATATGGTCACATGGTAGATTAAGTAGTACTTCTGGAAATTTGGAGTGGCTCTGAAAGTCAAATACTACAAAACAGGGTGGTGAGTATGCAGTAGGAATCCTACCATCAGGCCCTCCAAATTTCTCTTCGTGGGCCTCCTGGAGTAGGAGTGTGGCAGGGGAGGGGTGAGCTTTAGGGGCCATCCCTGTTGTACCGCTAAGATAACAGCTACCACAAGGTGGAGCAAAGGCACAGAATTAGAATCACAGCTGCCCATCTCCCAAACTCAGTTTACCCTGGCTTTCTGGATTTTAAGTCACAGGCATTCTCCATATTCAGCTTTGTGAAGCAATGTGGGCTCCTAAATATGGGAAAGATAAGGAGAACCTGTAAAAGAGAAAACTATGAAAGAATCAATTGACTTGTTAATCACAGTGCATGACTGGATCAGAAGCTATCCATGGAGGAAAAACCATGAACTAGTCATACACATTTCACTGTATGTGAACCTGCCTCACAAGTTTAAAGAACCATAAGTTCACAGCAAACAGAGTAGAAAATTGGGGAAACCCACTTTGGAGGGAAGCTGATAGGAGCTGAAATGCTGACCCAGCCAGGTCTTTACACATTTACTGGGCTTTCTATTTTCTCGTCTATAAAATGAAGACAGTGGTATCAACCTTTGTAGGGTTCTTGTAAGGACGTATGCAAAATGCTTTGTTTAGTGGATGGGAACCAATTTCCAAAAACAGTAAGATGGCGATTTACTAATATTAAAACATTAACATTCAAAAACATTTATCGATGGTTTATTGAACACGATGAAATCAAAGATGTTTAAGATACACTCTCTGGTTTTTATTTCTTTAATCTTTTTAAAAAGTTTTAATTATTTAAGTAATGTCTGTACCTAACATGGGGCTTTAACTTACTTCCTGGATACCAAGAGTTACAGGCTCTCCTGCCTGAGCCAGCTAGGGGCCCCGCCCCCTGTCTCTGATTTTTAAATAGCTTTCTTTCAAAGAAGATTAAAACTGAGGTAATAAACACAAAGGTAACTTACATTCTCTGGGTATGTATAATAGTCTGGTGCTGCTCTAAGTACTTTAAGGGATAATCTCTGTAAAAGCTTATCACATCCCCAGGAGCTAGGCATTAACCCACTGTACAGATGAGGGAACTGAGACCGGGAGAGGGGCTATAATTTGTATCAGCTCACTCAGGAAACTGCAGAGCTAGGATTCACTTCTAGATGTTCTGTCTTTGGGGCTTGTGGCTATCCCAATAGCCGACAGTTCATTTCTAGGGGCTGCACTTTCTGCTGCCAGGTTGTACTTCCCAAGTGCAAATATAAAGTAAATCCCAGCAGCACCGTGGAAGGATGATGTAGATCACATTTATATTTGACTGCAGTCATCACCAAAGTACGCTGCTTATCTCTGGTCTCTCTCTCCCCATGCCCACCCCGTCCTTTCACACTGCCAACAGTTGTCTTTATAAAACATATATGTGATCATGACACTTTTCTACTTAAAAGGTTCCCTGTTGTCTGCAGAACTGCATCCAAGAGCTCAGTACAGGAGGCCTCTCCCAGTTGGCCCTGACCTTCCTTCCCAGCCTCTCTGCTTTAGATATTCTGGGTCTTCACCCAACACTCTTACATAAGACAGTTCCACATGAAATTAGGGCAGTCAGGAGTTCCATAGTTAACCTCTTGTTTGGCAAAATGGAAAAAAAATTAATTTTTTAAAAGATTTTTTTTAAAGTAATCTCTACACCCACCTTGGGGCTTGAACCTACAACCCCAAGATCAAGAGTTGCATGCTGCACTGACTGAGGCAGCCAGGAGCTCCTTAAAAAAATATTTTTAATTAAAATTTAAAAGCTATACAATTAAAAACAACCTTCACGCACTGTCAGTTGAAACATAAATATATATTTAAACTTTCAAAATGTTTTTCACCTCCCATGAGAGATCTGGTATTTTAGTAGAGGACATCTTGTAACTATAGTTCCAATTGCCCCAAAGTGTGATGTTCTTCTTCCTTCTGGAACTCAAACCCTTCCCTCTCTGCTTACTAGTCATCTTTCAAATCCAGTTTAAATACCACTCCTCCCCAAACCGCTGGCAGCCCATTTTTTTCCTTCAGGGCTCCCCAAAGCCTCGAGTATTACTCTCTTAAAGCATTATTGTACTTTATTTACTTATTTATACAATAAACTTTCAGATCCTTTAAGGTAGGGACCAGGGACCTGATCTCTGACCCTACATCTTAGCTTGGTGTTTGGACCACAGTGAGAACGTGAAAGTATCACTGGATACATCAATGAATGGTCAAAGTCTACAGTCCGTACTCTGTTTAGATCTTGCAAGAAAACATTTGTATACTGGACACGCCTGTGAATAATCGCTTTGATAAACCAGGCCCACACTCTTGTTGGAAGCGATTGGAAAGGAGACAGGAAAGGTCCCAGGCGGTACTTGCGTCCCTCACAAAGCTAGTGACCACGCCTTTTCCACCACCCTAGCTCCCGGGGCTACTTCTAGGATGGGGGTTACATTGTATTCAAGATGGGTATTTTTCCTCCATCTCGACTGAAGAGCTTCACCGTCCTTTGATTTTTTTTTTCTTTTTTTTTTTTAGCAGCCAACTCGTGCACAATTCAGTGAACCTCCAGGTTCCCTACGGGGGTCTAAGATGACTCCCAGCCCTTCCTGTTATGGAGAGCTCCAACTCTGGATTCGTCCGATGGATTCTGGAAAAGGCCCCTCCAGAGCCCCTTCCCTCGGCCCAGGACGGCCCGGGTCGGGAAGGGGGTTTCCAGCGGCCGGGGCTGCGGTCCGGCCGCCGAACCCAGCCAAGCCCTGCCACAGCCGGGGGAGGCGCGGGGGGGGGGGGGGGCGTCGCCCACGGCCGCCCGGGCTCGGCGCGCGGGGCGGGGCCGCGGGTGGCCGCGAGAGGCATCCATCTTCCCGGGCCAGCGGGCGTCTCCTCACCGAGCGGGGCGGGGGCGAGAGCGAAGGGCTAGGGCCGCGGCGCCGCCCCTCCCTCGAGCTCCGCTCCTCTTCGCGGAGTCCCGCGCGGCAGGTGGGGCGCCACCCGCCGCTCGCTCTCTGGGCGCGGGGAGCCGCGGGCCGTGAGCGCGCCGGCAACTTTGCGGCCGCCGGGGGCGCGGCTCCTCCCGGTGCGCGTGCGAGTGTGCAGGGCAGCGGCGGCCGCCTGGGGGCAGCAGCGGAAAGCGGGACGAGGAGAAAGAGGCAGCTCCGGCGCCCCGTGGCCCAGGAGGCAGAGGCCCCTCGCGGCGCCGGCTGTCGAGACCTAAACTCCGCCGGGGCTGTGCCCAGGACGCGTTCGAACGGCGCAGCGGCCGCCTTCCCGGCCAGCAGCGGGGACTCGTTCTAGGATTACGTTTCCTTTCGCCTGCCCGGGCGCTGGCAGCCGCCTTTGCCGACGGGGGAGCGGCGGCCGCGGCAGCAGCATCCCGGCCCGGGTGGGACCCCCCGAGTGCCGGAGCCGGCGACGGGAGCAAGAAGGGAGGGTCGCGACGCCCGCCCTCCACGGCCTGCCCTGCCCCGAGCGCCGGGTGCGGGTTTCTAACAATGGTGCGGAGCGCCGGCGCGAACCCCGCGTCCGCCCGGCGGCCGTAGAGGAAGTGGCCGGCTCCGGGTGGGGTGGGCAGGGAGACGCCCCCCGCCGCTCGCTCGAAGGAGTTTGCCTGCGCGCCGGGCCCCTCCGGCCCCGAGCCCGGCTCCCCGCCGGATCACCGACGGCAGTCGAACCGGAGAGTATGGTGCCGGCGCCCGGCTTACTCTAGTCCCCGGCTCGCTTCTTCTTTCCGCCTCCTCGTCTTCCTCCTCCTTTACCTCCTGTCGGAGCTGCCTCTGGGTTCCCGGTGTGTGGGAGTACAACTCTCTGCCTCTCCAAGGAGACCGGTTTGTGACAGCCTAACAGAACTTGCCCATTGAAAGCAAACCCAGAACAGCTGGATAATGTCCACTCCGAGCAGATTCAAAAAGGACAAAGAGATCATAGCCGAGTATGAAAGTCAAGTCAAAGGTAAGGATGGGAGCGGCTGCCTTGCTCCTTTTGTGTGCCTTCTTGTCATTGTGCTCGAGGAGTTGCCTTTCTAACTTAGTGTCTGCGTTGGAGGAAGGCGCTGAGGGACAGCCAGAGCCTCCGGTTGAGCCACCCCAGGGTTCCTACAAGCCAATCCCCCTCCCAGTCCCAGTCTCGTCAAGCCCACAGGGAGCTGGAAACAGGGTGGCTTTCCCCGGCTGCCAGAGCGCACCTCCACCAGAGAGAGAACTGGCTTTAACTCAGCCACCTTCAGCCGGGCAGCTGGGCAACTTACAGGGGAGGCAGGCAGCAGCAGTGGTTCCTGCCCAGTTATCCTCTTCCTCCTCTTTATGATTCTTTTTAACTGATATCTTTGTCACCACACACACACACACGTAATATTTTAAGGAGTCGTCTTTCTGAAGTCTGGACACCAAGTGGTCTAGAGCTTCATCGAGTGCCGATGATTTTAGACATTTACACTGTTCACTATTTATCAGGGTGAGTCCGCCTTTTATAAAACAGCTCCCTAAAAGCTTGGCAGTTAAACCAAGCAGGGACTAGTGGAATCTGACTCCTCCTTTATAATGGGCCAGAATTCAGTGCCATCTTTCACCCTCACATGGGAATATCGCTTTATCATTTGTGGAAAGCTACTTGTATGTGAACTGGTTTGAATATTTAAGTAGCAGTTTCAGTCCATTTACATTGTCTACTCATGAAGGAACCTAATTAATGTTGATTAAACATTTTTACCTAATGTGCCTTGTGGTTTAAAAAATATGTTTTCTCTCTAGTACAAGTATTTTGTGGTGCTCTCAAAGTGGTTGTGTTTTTGTGGGGGTTTTTTGGTTTTGTTTTTCCTCTTCTGTGGTCTCTGCCGGGTGGTTTTCCCTATTGAGACAATGGATGGAGTGTTAAGGTTGCTGTTCTTTGGAATATTCAATGCAAAGTTCATAACAATTGCTGTGTGGACACCTGTGTTTTTTCAGATACAGTTTTATAAAAGGGCTGCTGAGGGACGCATTCCTTACTTGCCTTGGGAAAGGCAGGAGCAGCCTCAGCGTTCTTTTGTGTGGTCAAGTTGTGAAAATGCCTGGAGTCCTGTGAGAGGACCTGGAGGGGGACCCTCCATCACCTGAGGGTGAATTTGGACCAACTCATCATGGCCACAGATGTAGTGTGCAAGCCCGGGGAGTCATGTTTCTTTAGGCTAACCCTGATAATGGATTTGAGCTCAACGTTGTTCAAGAAATGATTTTTAACTGCTTATAATTAATATAATTTATAGTTACAGGAACTGGTTATATTGATAGGAAAGTTATATTAGCTGAGAAGTAATTATTTCCTTAGTGACAGACAAACTTTTTAAGAAGCAGGATCTTTCTTAATGAGTGCAACAAAGCCTGAAACCTTTCATTCTAAGGTGGGACTCCTAGTCACCATTCCTTGTGCAGGTTTTCCACATGGCTCTTTGTGGTAAATCTTTGAGGGATGGCAGTCTGGCTTTCTTGCTGCCTGGAGCGATGACTGGCAGAATGCCATTTTAAGTATTGGCTTCATTATTTCTGCTCCAAAGTCATTTGTCCATGATCAGGTCCTTATATGAAAAATAGTCTCATGATTAATTTCTTTCAGAGAGTGAATTCTATTGTTATATGACTACTGATCTGCTTGAGATAAAAGGCCCTCTATGTTAAAAAAAAAATCAATAAAATGGGATGTATTGTAGTGTTTAAAATGTGTCTATCAAATCCAATCCAAGAAAAAATTATGAACATGGTGAGGATTATTTTGGGAACAAATTTTGTCCCATAGAAAGTGATCCTCTCTGTTCTCTTCAACCTTCCTCATTCACACATACCCCAGTCTTCAGGCTGCTTTCTGACTCTTTCCTAACCTGACCTGCTCTTCTCATCAGGACCTGTATCCAGACTTTATCTATTTCCACCTATTCTGTTTCAAACCGAGGTCATTATATCCATATGCAATTACTGGAATAGGGTAATACAAGGGAGTCGGGTCGTGCACACCTTCAGTGGCCCCAATTCACCTGTACTTCTGAGCAAAATCAAGAAACAAGTGGGAGAAAAAAGACAGTGACCTAGTGCATGAGGCCAAGCCATTCCACACAGTGGGAGTAGGTTCCTTTGTAAGGATGTGAAATGCAGGACTCTGGTTTTCTGTTTTATTTGCTGAGTCCCTCTGCTAGGGTGAGCCCTTTACCCTAGCAGAGTGCTAGTCCACTGTTTAAAGGTATGTGGTTTTGGAACAACCACCTCTTTTAATTCCAGCCAATATTTCATCTGTTGATAAACAAAAGAAATGTGGTCTATTCAATTGCTAAAGGAAAACCTGGCTGGGCTGGACTCAGAAGAGAAGACATAGATCTGTTCCCAGTGAATAAAGCCCCATGTGTTTGAGTCTCTAGGTGACTTTGGCTTATGGGTGATTTCAAGAGTCATTTTTGATTATGTGTACTTTTTTTTTAACCTTCTGACTTAGAACTTAATACTCTGGAGTATTGTTCTTTCTTTTTCTCTCCCATTTCCCTGATACCAGTTGTACGAATCTCAGAATTTCTGAGATAATGGTTTTATCTAAAGGAATGACTCCAGGTGTGGGATTTTGGCACTGTGGCTGCCTGCACATGTTTTCGACAAACTTCATGGAGCTATTCTCAACTGTGAAAAGAACCATCATAGGTGACAATGTATAATTTTTATGTGTGAAACTATAAGTACATCTAGTTAGATACATTATGTTGAGTAAGTCACATAGCTTCTTTCTGGCTTTTGGTTTTCTTATAAGACAAAGAGTTTGGATTCTCGGTTCTAATGAGCTTTGAGTCTGATTGAAGATGTTATGTCCATTCATATTAATAACAGTAAAATTTTCAGGTTTTTTGCATTTTCTTTCGGCTACCCTATTATGGGGGAAATCATCTTTGGTTTCACTTTTTTTTAATAATGAATTTACAAACCCTATTTATTATTTGAGTTCTTAGAAAATTAAAATGTAATGCAATAGGGAATAGAGAAAAATAATAAAACCATGTTCAGAAAACTATAGGGCACAATTATAAGAGGGGATAGAATTATGAATTATACGAGTTGTCAAGGAATAGATGTGTTTAAATCAGAGACAAAAGGACCTCAAGCAGTAATTTTTTTTTTTAAAGATTTTATTTATTTATTTGACAGATAGAGATCACAAGTAGGCAGAGGCAGAGAGAGAGAGGAGGAAGCAGGCTCCCAGCCAAGCAGAGAGCCCGATGTGGGGCTCGATCCCAGGACCCTGGGATCACGACCTGAGCAGAAGGCAGAGGCTTTAACCCACTGAGCCACCCAGGCGCCCCTCAAGCAGTAATTTAAAAGCAGTGTGTTAGCTAGGAGAAGAAAGACTATTGCATGCATTGTGTTAGTCAACCTCCCAAAGATCTAGAATCCAGAGAAGTCAATCTCTCATTTGTGGGGGCTCCTAAGAAGCCAGCTTGTCTGGAGAAGTATATGAAAAACAAACCAGTTGACTCTGTTGCTTGTTAGCATCTCTGGCAAAAAGCTTAGTAGGGGAATAGATGGTAACAACTGGCTAACAGAAGGTTTGGAGATTATCTGGATTTTAGTATTCTACGCAATTTTCGTATTCTGAGCAATAGTATTGTGGCACACATATAAAAAATACTGCTTTCCGTATGGGAACTGAAAGAATCAGGAGACACATTTTGTGAAGTGGAACTCAGGGACCTAGAGGTTGTGTTTGTTTTTAATAATGCATGTTGCTAGTTGCTAGGATTTGACAGCTATCATTTGCAATATTTTTTGAGGGATAATTCATACTCCTCTATATGCCATATGTACAGGAAGTGCCAAGAAAATCTGTTGTTCTTCAGCCACTCTGCTGCCTGAACTACGAATAGTACATTTTGGTAGCAGACAGATCGTGAGGAAATGCCAATTCAGTTTGATTGGACCCCATGTCATACAGTAGGTTTCAATAGGAAGGAGCACTGCTGTCACTAATATAGAACCTGTATCTCCATCTGATGTTCTTTCATCTAACCTGTAATAGAAAACAGCAACAACTTAAATTTTGAATTAAAATTTTATAGCTGGGAGGGACTTTAGACATTTCCTGTCCAACCCATTCATTTACATGATGCAAGGAAGCATAATGATAGAGTTACACAATTAAGTGTAACCTACCTGGGGCTAGAACCAGATTTGTTTTCAGGAACAATGATTTACTTTTAGATTCCTCACAAAGTAGAGCAGGAGATAGAGCACTTCACTGTTTAGATTTCTTTTCTTTTTTAAGATTTTATTTATTTGAGAGAGAGAGAGCATGCACATGAGCGGTGGGGAGAACCAGACTTTGCGCTGAGCAGGGAGCCTGACATGGGGCTCGATCCGAGGACCCTGAGATCATGACCTGAGCCAAAGGCAGATGCTTAACTGACTGAGCCACCCCGGTGCCCCTTGCTGTTTAGACTTTACATTCACTGAGGGCACTGTAGTTGGACCTAGAAGAGCAACTCCTCTGCTCTGTTAACAGGAGGAGTTAATTAAATTGATTAACTGTAACTAAGTGTCGTCCCCCGCCCCCCCCCCCAAGATCATTACAAGAAACCACAATGTGCAGGCAGTGGCTTCACAGGCTTGCCTTAGGATCAAGAAAAAAAATACGGTGAATATGTGCAAATATAACTTGCTTGAAATTTCGGTCAAGCTAATTGGAGCTACTTCAGTAACCCTCTTATGTGGCCCAGAAACCCTGGTTGGTTTCATGAACTTCAAAATACATTACGGAACAGTTTGGGAGAAATTTTGGGGCCGAATGCATCCTTCTGAACTCCGGTGAAGGCTGGCAGTACAGGATGACGAACCTCAGCTTCCACAGTCTGTGTTGCTTCCCTTATTGTGAAACGTTGACCAACTTAGGAGCCACTCATGTTCAGCTCTGGTTCTGGTTTGAGAGAGCCTGCTTTGTTGTGTGGCCAG